ATTGCTAAGATTGAAATCAGCAACACTGTAAGGTTTGTGAGAGCCTAATTTTATGAGATTAACTGCCCCATTTCCTGTCCAAATAGGTTCCAATAAATTCATGTGACTACTGAATAATTATGCACTGCTTATCGGACTGAACTTCCAGTCCTAAAGATCCAGCATTTCTGGAAGGTTTGCTCAGCTATGGAAACCTTCAGTGAGACATTTTAACTGCAAGAGCACAGGCAACATCGGCTGATAAAATGTGACATTAGCATGTCTCTAGTACCACATAAATCTTTTCTTCCTGGAGCTCCAGTTTTTAACACTTTCTCCCTAGTAGGAGATTGATCTTGTTCCCATATATGAAGCAGGGACTATTAATGAGGTATTATGGAATGGTAGTTTAGGATCACTGATGCACATGGCCTCACTTTGTTACAGTGAGAAAATGACATTATGCATATTTGTAATAATGAGGAACAGCTTTAGTTTCATGTCTGCTACAGAAAACATGTGATAAATAATGTTCTGTCCAAAGTTAAGCACACTAAATTTTGTATTAATTGAGGCAAATATCATGCCCCTCTTTAGTGCAATCAAACATATTACCATTAATAAATGACTTGAATTTTCTTTCACATTTATACTGCTTGCAGAACAATATAATCTTTTAATATGTTGCTGTCTTGGAAGTCTTTCCATTCTTAGTATACTCTGAAATTTGTACAATAAATTTCTGTCTATTGAATCTTTAAGTGTCATGACATTAAAAGGTAGGCAAAATTTAACTGTCATTTTCCTTTTCACTTTTTTCCCATCAGTTCTGTACCTGACATTGATACCTGCTCAGAGCTTTGAAGCACCCATTTCCCGTGTAATTAAATAGCTCTTTATTCATTAGCAAGGGTGTTAACTAAGAGATGCACATCTGCAAGCCCATGATACGTGGCAAAGAGAAAATGTGGATATCTAAGTGCTGCTACACACAAGCTATGCCCAAGTCCTTCTGCTTTCTCTCTCAGGCTACATTCTTTAGATCCATTTGGTTCTTGCTGTTTTCCTTCCTCCACCAGCTTTTCTGAGTCTTACTCATTTCTTTCCAAAGACCCTAGCCACCCTCTTGTTCTCCTTTATGGCCCATCTTAAAGCTGCCTGTGGAAAGTGCAGCTCTGCCACTTGCCAGAACACAAATGCTGCCTGCTTCGTGCAACACTGGGCCAGTATCCAGGCTGAGGAACCATCAACAGGTAAAGCCAAAAGCGCAGGAGACCATGAATCAGGAAACCAGTAGTAAAACATTCATTAAGATCACTGAGACCCAGGGACACTTGGTCCCCCTGGTATGCCAGAGCCTATAAATGTCTGTAACTTCAGGTATAAGGCTTATATCATTAATATAAAAATGCCAGCATTTTTTTTGCATCAAGATTACACTGATTATGCTATCTAAAGTATGCTTTATCTATTATTTAAGGTTAATATGCGTATTAGGGTAGAAACTGGAAGACCCTGTATGGATTTGCAGTGTTTCAAAATGGAAACAAGGCATTTTTTGAAACAGGATGTTGTAGGATGGCTCCAAACATAAGTGTTTCCAAATCAACAAAGATATGAGATGTGTGCTTTTCCTAAATGATGAAGTGGGGCATAGGCACATATCTGGAGCTGAGCAGTGCCTCAATACTGTTACAGAAATAGGCACTGTGGAAAGCAGGCTATTCAAAATTGTGGGTTCAGAGTTCTGGACTTCCTGTATTAAATGCTGAAAGTGCATGGAAAGAAGTGTTCTCCTGGAGGCGCAGTGGGGCTGGCAAAGTTTAACATCTCATAAACCTTTAGACCACTCAGTATCCAAATCCAGCACAAGCTACTGCATCCAATGGGAAAATACAACACAACAAATGAGTTGATGCGTTCATGTTGCTCCAGGGAAAAAAATTTCTCCCCAGATCCTGCTGAACAGCCTTCAGTTGCAGGAGCTGCTGTCTCATATGGGAGGCAAAACTGATTCCTTCTCTTGCATTAGAGAGAGAGTTTTCCTCATAGTGTGCTGTAAAACAAACTGACTGTTAGTGTGGCCTGTGTGTTTTTTTTTTGGTTAACTGCTGATCCAGACCCAGAATTTTGTCTAAGGACCTAGCAAGTGTGACTCCTTTATCATTTCCTGTGAGGGGGAAGCTTAGTCCTTGTACCTCATCATTAGGAAAAGAGAAGGGATTTGCCCAGGGTTTCTGGAGATGCTGACTGCCTGGGTGCTGGTCTGTGCCAGGACGTGGCAATGTGACACAATGCTGCTCCAGGGAATACAGACACACATAGCAAGGAATGTGGTGATGGGGGAATGTCATTGCTCCTCACAGCCCAAGTGAGTGTGCAGACACCAGACTTTGTGCTTATCTTGCTCTGCTGCTAGCCTGTTGGCTTTTTCCTCTTTGGACTGCCTTGAAGACTGATAGTGTGGAAAGAATGGTGCTAGTGGAGAGAAACAACCTTGGTTATAAGTGGTGAAAGAGTTCAATGGTGAGACAGTCACCTCCAGTGCTGTGAACTGGTGGGAGATGGTTGTGCCAGAATCAAGCAGAAGCTGGTGAGAGCTGTGACTGTGCCACACCTTCCCAGATGCTTCAACCTCCAGTGCTGTCACCACTTGCTCCCAACACACCATAAAAGCTGATAAACTGGATCAGTACAAGCTGTGGTTTAGGCATTGTATTGGATTCAGCATAGCAAAGGAAAAGTGATGGAGCCAGAGCACAGCTGCTCTTCGGAGCATTTGCAGTATCACAGGCATCTGGCTGTCACATCAGCCGCATCTGTTGAGCTGACGTGGGGACAACGTGAGCACTGAATGTGCAGGAGTGTGCTGGTGGGAGGGGATGCAGTGAGGCCACTTTGTAAGATGTGATGTCACCCTGTGCACACATCTGCAGAAATTAGGAGCTAGAGCTGCTGGCTGTGGCATGGAAGATTATTCACACACATTAAAATTCTTCACTCAGTGGGTGATGTAAGGCAGCCTGTAGTCTTGCTGTTAGGTCTGTGGCCAGTGCACTGTGGAGTCATGAAGATTTCAAAATAACTCTTGACATTAAGCTTTCTGGAATTTTCTTTGCTTTCATGGATGGAAACAGACGCTGTCTCATGAGCTTAGTTGCACAGCACAAGAGCCATTTATTTTCTAGTTTGTGGTGTTTTTTTCCTCAGATAATGTTGAGATTCTGTTTCTGGAGTGATGAAAACAATTCCTGGCTTTGCTTTTGCAAACTGAATATATTTTTTCAGAATCTGCTGGATTATTATTAAACCAATAACTGCATACGATAATAACTACAGAAATTAGTAACAGTAGTATATAAATGATAGAATTTTAGAATATGTCCTGAAGCCTTTTGTCAGTATATCAAATGTTCTTACTTGGGTGTTTGCTATTTTGCCTTCAAATAAAAGTAAAAGTAAGATATTATGAGAGTCATGATTTGTCATTCCAACTGGAATTAGTCAAGATGCTAATCAAATTATCTGTTTCTAAAGAATTAACCTTATTTTACTAACATGCAAGGCTACTTTCCAAATCTACCAAAATCTGAAGCTTTGTTTGAAGTGGATTAATCTTATCCAGCTTCAGGCACTCTGGTAGTCAGGTGTCCAGCCTAGCCCAGTCCCCCAAGCTGTTCCAGTCACCCAGGCTGTTCCTGTCGCCAGTGGAGAAGGGTGTGCTAGCAGAAGATCCCCACTCTGTTTGTCTCAGACCTCTTTTGTATGAGGGCTCAGATTGCTGCCAGGGTGCCCATCTCTCCCCACTGACTCAGATCTGGACAAGGAGACATGTAAGTCTGACAGCTGAATCAGTAGTCCCATGTTTCTAGGACAAGTTCTATGTCCCAGATTCAGCAGTGGTTCCCCTGGGTCAGGACAGCAACTGTGATCCCATGGCATTGGTGAGGGTGGGCTGTTTTCTGTGACTTGCATCTCAGGCACAGAAATGAAACAGAATAAAGCAACTTTAGAACAGATTTTCAGAAGGTAGCCCAGAACAGGGGGGCAGAGTAGATGTGGAGAGAGGTAGATTTGCAGCTCTGCTGCCAGTCCTCTAGGAAGTTAAACTTTTAAGATTTGTTGTGGATGCCTTGAAAGTGCTCTACACCACACTGGATTGGTCTCTGAACAATTTGGTTTAGTGGAAGGTGTTTAGTTCCATGGTCCAAGGGTTTGGAACTATCTGGTCTTTAAGATCTCTTCCAACACAAACCATTGAGTGAGTCTCTAATTTACCCATTTACCGGGTATCATGTCAGAGCCAGTGGCACTGATTTGGTACTTTTGGCTGTCCCAAAACGTCCTCCTTTCCTGGCTTTATGTCCGGCAGTACCACTGCTACAAAGCCCGAGCTCGGGGCCCCTCCCGTGCCATGGGTGCGGGATAGCGCGGCTGTCCCAGCTCCGTCCCCGGCGTTCCTGTCCCCGGGGAGCTCGGGCAGCGCGGCGGCCCCACAGTTGCAGACACCCAGGCTCCCGCTCCGCCTCGCTGGGGGAAGGATGCCGGTCCCGAGCACATCCCGGGGCAGCCGTGGGCGGGTTCCCGGGGCGGCGGGGGCGGCGCGGGGGCTGCGTGGGGCTCGGCACCGCCCGCCCCCTCGGAGCCGCCCGGCCCCGCCCGGCCGGGCCCCTCCCGGGGCAGGGGCAGGCGGAGCGGGGCGGGGGGGACCGGAGCCGGCGAGGCGTGATCGCCCGAGGCCCCTCCTGCCTGCCGGGAAGCCTTAAAGCAGGGCGGCGGGGCGCGGAGCCCCGCACTCGGAGCCCCGACGCCCGGGCAGAAGCGCCGAGCCGAGCCGAGAGCCGCTCCGCTGCAGCCGCCGTGAGTGCCGCGACGGGGCGGGCACGGGATGGGGATGGGGATGGGGACAGCGATGGGGACGGGGACGCGGGGCTGCCCGGGCCGGTCGGGGCTGCGCTGGGGCTGCCGCCGTCGGGGCGGGTGCTGACGGCAGCTCTCGTCCATCCCGCCCCGCCGAACAGATGCAGGGCACCGTGAGGCTGTGGGTGTCGGTGCTGACTTTCGCCCTGTCGCTGCTGGTCTGCCTGGGGACGCTGGCAGAGGCGTACCCCTCCAAACCGGACAGCCCCGGCGAGGACGCCCCCGCAGAGGACATGGCCAGATACTACTCGGCGCTGAGGCACTACATCAACCTCATCACCAGGCAGAGGTAGGCACGGCGGGACGGCACACATCTCGCTCGCCCGCTGTCGGGCTGATTTTTTCCTTGGCGAGGCTCAGGGGAGGAAGGTGGGGTGTCCCCTCACACTGGGGGTGTCTCTCGCTGCTATCCCCAAGGACACGGAGAAAGACGTGGTGCTCAGATTAGAGAGCAGTGCCCGTGAAACCCTGAGCTGCCGACGGGTCCGGAGCTGAATTTCCACCGCCCAAGTTGGCAGAAGGGGCAGGAGTGTCAATGCTGCCTCTGCTCTCTCAGCCTCTTCTAGCTCTGGCCAGACAGGCTGGCGGGCAGAAGCACAAACGGCGTGCACAGGGAGGGACCCCAAAAAGGAAAGATAGCTAACCTGGGAGCTGGAGACGGCTAGACAGGGCACTAGGAGCAGTTTCCCACTTCTGTTGCTGACACTGACTCCAGTCAAGATTTTGGTGAGAAAAAGTGCCCATTGTGGAGTTGCAATAGTCCAGGTGTTTTGTGGTTTGTAGGCTGCTTCATGCAGCTGTGAGTGTCAAAAAACCCCTAGCCCTAAACAAAACCTCTCTCAAGACCAAGAACTCAAGCCCAAAGAGTGTGAACGCAAGCCTCCCTGGCTCTAAACTGGCTTTCTGGGTTGGCCATGCTTGTTAAAGTATGGGTAAAAGCTCAGCCTGAAAAAAAAGGGCAAGTTATTATAAAAAATCATCTTCTTTGATAAAAAATGGTCTGTCTAGTTAGGCTGTGGGATTGATAGATATTCACTCTGAGGTCGTGCAATAGTGCGTGACACAGAAGAGCTTTGACATATTTATCTATTGTTTAATATCAAGACCAGATGAGAGTCTAAAATTAGGCTTTCATTTTTCCCTTTAGAAGTCTGAAGAATTAAATTAGAAGGGTGGCTATCATGCAACTGAGAGCTTTCCCAGAAGCCCCTAACATTGTGTGTGCTACTGCCCTAAGTGTGTAAGATGGATGAAGGGGCTGATAGAAATACAGTTCTTCGGTTCTGAACTTTTAAAGCGATGTTCACAACTGGCTCACATGTGAGGCATGCTTCTGTGTGGCAGTCTGCACTCAAATAACATTTTGTCCAGATTACTGTTAAAATAATCCAATCCTCAAATTCTGCCTCTGCTGCCGTTTTTTCTTGCATGCGATGGGATCTCCAGGCTGGTGTCTCATCCCTTCTTTTCTTTCTTTCATCTCCCTTTTCCAAGGTGGCTCCTGTCCAAAGCAAAGTCATATTTAAAAACAAAAAATCCCAAATCCAAATGACCACCCCTCCTCGCTTCTGTTCAGCCTTCACTTCTAGTGTCTGCTCTGTGTGCTTGCTTTAATATTGACTGTGTAGCTTTTATTCCAATTTTATTGATTGTAAGTACACAACTCAGAGAGGGAAACCAGTTTCATTCTTTTGTGTAGATTTGGAAGTGACCTGAAATAGTTATTGTTTCTAATGGATAAAATTTAAATTTTGTTCTTTACATTTTCCTCATATTTCCTACCCACCCATGTATTAAAAGGAACAGAGTTGATGTGGAAGTACAAGAAAGTTGGCAGAAAAAAGCATTACAAAGGCAACTTTTTGATACACATTTAAAAGTTGACTCTGCAGGTTAACTAAAAAACCAAAAAGGTGTGCTGCTTTTCCACTGTGGTGAATGAACAGTCCAGAAATAAAACCATTGCCACTTGCATTTGGAAAGCTTAACTGAGCTGCTGGAGGTTTCCTGTTTTGGCAGTGACACAGTCCCTTGCAAAATGAATCAATAACTTTTGAAGCATCCTTGTACCGGTCTAAGGATGATTGGTGTGTTTGAGCAGATGTGCTCAAAGTTTTATCTCTTCTAACAGATTTTTATCTCTGCTTTTTGTGCATGGCACTGCTTGGGAGCCCTGTGACAGGGGGAGGATGAGGTCCAGGGGCTCACCCTGCTTTCTTCTGTGGGTAGGTGAGCAAGCTGTGCTCAGCCTCTCACCCAGCTTGGTGCCTGTAGCTGCTGAGGTGAAGCAGTAAGAACATGTTGGCAAAGGAGGAGATGAGGAGATGGATGTGTTTTTTTTTTTTTTCTTCAGGTTCATCTGCCCTGCCTTGTTTGATATTTTTGTCATTATGAATGCCACCAACCCCCTCCCCACCCCCTCCTGGCTCATCTTTCTGCCTTCTGCTTCTGGCCTGACTCAAACATTTGAGTGCCATTCCCCTCTGAGCTACTGTGACCCACAGAGTCTTCACCTGAGCTCAATGAGCTTCTTCCTTCCAGACCATCCTTCTCTTCCTGTATTTAGACCTTGTCCATCTGGCTGTTTGCTCCCTCCCTCCTTGGAAATTCTTCTTCAGATCCATCTCAGCTTTAGACACCAGTGCCTGTCGGCTTTAATACCCCTTTGAGGTACCTGAGGTAAATGGGTGCTTGTATGGTGCAGATCATGAGACCTTTTTCAGGCTTCTTGTTTTTGATGAGATCCTTGTTCCTTATGTGCCAGGTATTTATAGCCTAAAAGAGACTCCAGGACAGATGCAGACTGCTGCTCTACAGATGTCTGTGTGTCTTTGGATTAGTTCCACCTTCATTTCCTGAGCTGTCCTGTGGTCCTTGCCTCACACCTCTGTACCAGACTGTTCAGGAGGCTTTCTTCAGAGTCCATCTTTACTCTTCCTCCTCCTCCTGCTATTTGCTCCCTCTTGCTAATAAAATATCTTCTTTCCTTGTCACTTGCAGTTTCTCAGTGAATCTGTGGCTCTTCTGTGCTGTAGCAAAGCAGCCAGGCCATTTCTGCTGGAAATAGCTTGAACTATAGGCAGGGCAGAGTACATTAAAGTGTGTGTGACTTGGGCAGTGCTGCTGCTCCTGCTTCTTGTCAACACCCTTTAATGGGCACAGGAGCAGATCTCCCTTTGCTTTGGTTTCTTGACAATTTTCTGAATCAGACACATCCAAGTTCCTGGATTGGACATTGATGGGATTTGAATCCTAACACCAAAGTTTCCATAGGAAGCTTTGAGATTTTGCTGAGCCTGACATACTGTGTCCTTATTCAGAATAAGTATGTTTGCTCCTTAAATCTCTTAGGCTTCAGCTGGAGTTGTGGCTTATCAGCATGCCCCAAAGTAGGCCTTGATGTCTCAAATGGAGTATAAAAACTGACCAGGTGTTTTCACCTGGCTTGGAATTGTGATATTTTAAGCCTTTTAAAACAGCCATGATTTTTGATTAGTGTGTATCTCAGAGCAAGGCATGAAGCAGCTGGAGCAAAGAGGTCTCCAGACATTTGCATCAGGAAAAAGAGATTGACTCTGTGACCCCTAATTAGTAACTCAGTAGCATGGATGTTTCCCAGGGGCAAAATGACAGGGTAGGCAGGAGACTGACAAAGCAAGAGTGGATGTTGTTTGGGCAGCCCAGCTGGTGGCAGTCAGTGAACACCTTGTGTGCAGCTTTGCTGTGTGAGGGCACGGTGGGTCCATCCAGCACAGGTAGTGGCATGGAGTGGCCAAGATGCTGAAGGAACTCATGTAAAATGTATATCTCCCCAACATAGTGGTCCTCATTATTTGAGTGAATCTCTGCACTCTGGGTGGTTACTGCCTATTTCTTATTCAGGCAAAACTTCCTGAGAGATTAGTGGGAGTTTTGTCCAAGTGTGAGGTGCTAGAGCAAGTTTTGATTTGTTAAATCAGTTTCTTTAACATAACAGAAAATTAGCTTCCTCCTCAGTTGAAGTCCAGGTCACATCCATATTAATCAGAGCAGGGAACTAGAAAGAAAGAAATCCCTTGGTGGTGATGGAGTGCAAGGTATTTGATTCAACATCATGCCTGATTGCACTATTGTAATAGCATTTTACTGTGTCTGGCTGATTCTTTTCAAATCTCTGCTTTCAATCAGCTTAGATTAAGAAATTTAACTTTCTGGAACTGATGCTTTGTCTTTCTGGAGCACAGGTGATGCACTGAAATGATTAAAGCAAGGTAAAACCACAAAGGGTTGAAGAAAAGGGATGAAAAGTGAGAGAGGTTTCCCCATTCAAGTGGAATCAATGCACAGTTAAAACTGTTAGTTTTTTAAATGTAGTTTGGAAGGTTTGGGTAGATTTTTTTTTTTTTTGCTAATCTAAACCGCTGGAATGACTGGGGTCACTGGAGAAACATCATGATAATAATAGATAAAATGTTAGTTCTTAACTACACCTTTGATTTTTCTGAATTCAGAATTTCACTCAAGCAGCATTCACAGAAGCTGCTCATGTACTTTGTGATCCAGAATGAAATTGCACACACAAGTTAAACTGTGATCTTCATTCTCTCCAACGAAGGGAGCATTTGCTCATAGGTATCACTCTTAGGCTAATGAATCCTTGTAATCATGTAAGCAGGCTGCTCATTGACACTTCTGTTTTCCCAGGATAAGAGATTGAATTCCTTCCCAAGTGATGGAAATTGCAGTACTTTTAACTGTTAAGTGGTGTACAGCATTCAGGACTAAAAAGAAAAAGGCAAATAGAAAGCCAGCTGCTGTGTAAATAAAGGGCAAAGGTAGCCCCTGATATCCTGTCTAGTTGGAGAAGAACTCTGAAAAAGCAAGTTTTTCCTTCTTATAGCCACAGAGTTCATGATTGCTCAGTGTTTGCTAACTAATGTGCTATGTGTTGGGCAGCCCCAAATGTGCTGGCTACCTTAAAAAATCTTGCAAAATTTCTGATGAAGGACAAGTATAATCTAAACCAATGAGAAAGTTCATGGGATGATGGAACTGGGTTTCCAGGCAAGACCAACATGCTTGGAAGTCACATAATGCACAGCTTCTTCCCTCTTCCTCCATGCTCTCACCAGTAAGGTGCAAGGTCTTAGAATATCCAGGAGCAGCCATCAAATTGAGAAATATTGAGTTTTTCAGTATAATAATGTAAAATGATTGTAGAAAAATAATAGAAATAAAACAATAATTAAAATTTGCTCACATGGCTAAGGCAAATTAAAATTGCTGGAAAGTGGTATTTATGTCTGCTCTTTTTTTTTTCTGAAAAGATAAAAATCACTAATGGTTCTGTGCTCAGTCTTCATTTGTAAAAAGTGATATATACAAAAATGTAACTTTTAAAAATTTTTCCTCAGATATGGGAAGAGATCAAGCCCAGATACACTGATCTCAGACCTCTTGTTGAGGGAAAGCACAGAAAACATTCCTAGATCCAGGTATGTATGAAGAGCTCATTTGTGTTTAAGTCTCATTTATTATCAATAAATATGATTCACAGGGAGAAAACCTACCACCAAAAGCTGGTTAATCATGTCCTTAAAAAACCCAAACCTTTAATTCCTTTTTCCCCCAAGAGATAGCACCATCTATGAGTGCATGAAGTGCCTTACCAGATGTGATATAGTCCAAACTTCTCATTTGCTAATTTTGGGAGCAGGCTATACCTGTTATTCAGAGGAAGGGAAGCACTCCCACAGTGCTTGCCTCATTCTGGGCATTTTTACATAGAATTGTATGCTGATATCTGATGATGATTCCTTACTTATTAGAGCTCCAAAGATGACATCTTGCTACTCATTTGCTGCTCACACGTTTAAATTTTTCCTCTAAAGATCTATAAGTGGTAAATATGCACTTGTATTAACTCATACACAAATGCACAGCAGTGACTTTTCTTTAAAATACAGTATTTCACAGGTTTTGTATCTAATGCTTTGCAAAGGGGAAAAAAGGCCTTTTTATTTCCATTTGCACTAGACTAAAGTAACTGGTGTTTCAAACAACACTGGGGTTTCAAATGTACATAATGTATTTATCTATTTAGGTAATGACAATTTAGTCATAATGTAAGATACTGTAGTAGTGACTGCAATTTACCCAGTTGAAAATTAAGTAAGTTGAAAAGGTAAGATGCAGGAGTAGTTTTGGCTCATGAAGGAAAATACTGGTTTTACTCACAATCCAGCGTGAATGAGCTCAGTTTAAGCCTTCACTGATTGTCTGAAGTTTGCTGACAATACTTCTACTGCAGAAATAAATGTTTTATGCAGCTGTCTTCTCAGGAGTCTTCGAACAAGAGCTCTGCAAATGCTCAACTGGACTAGTTGAGCACTTAAACATAATAGGCTGTAGCATTGAATTTAGGGCATGATCATGAGACTGGAAGGTGACCCAAAATTCCTGCTGCCATCCAGGGGGGCTGCTCATGAGACCTGCAGTTCTTTGTGTAGGGAGAGCCTTGGCTGATGGTTTGATGACTAACCACAGCTGTGGGGATGCAATTTTCTCTGCAGATGCTTATCTGAAAAACTGCATGAAGTGCAGTGAAATGTATTAGACTATTTTGTGTTTGGTAATGACAAGGGAGAGCCCTCACATAATGGGAAATTTCCACTGTCTTGAATTTGAGGCAACACACAGGGTAGTTAGCACTCATACTCTCTAATATATCTCCCTAATAGTCTAATACTCTCTGTAATTTTCACCCCTTCATCACAAAATGCTATGATTATTATTATTGTTTCAATAATGCTATTTATAACACACCAGGGAGCAAAAATTCATGAGCAAAATAACAAACTAGTCTGCAGTTAAGATCAAGAATTGATGAGAACCAGATTTTTATTTCTTACCCCCTGTAACAGCACTTTAAACTGAGTATGGTGTTTTTCACTCACTGCTGACAGTTATGGGAGTTCTGGGAGCAATGATGCCTAGTTTCCTATGGATATGTTTTCTAGGATAAAACTCTGTATGGATTCTGGAGCCCACTCCAACTTTTTCCTCCATGTGAGGACACAATTCAATTTTCTTTCTATCCAGTCCTATGTTTCATGGCACATCAGGAGCTAAACATCTCTAAAATGAGTGTGCCTCTCCTTGGCTTGGTTGAAAAATTCCAAAGGGTGTGAAAGCTGGGGAGGAAGTGTGGAGAGGCACACAGGGCTGGACAGATGGACACACAGCACGGCTGCCCAAGCCTTCTTCCTGGAGGAAGCCAGGCTGAAGGAATGAATGAATGGCAGGCTGCTATTATTCCAAACTTAAATTAAGTAAATGTTATAGAAATAGTTACACAAAAAGCTAGTTATGGAGCAAATGTAATTGGCACTCAGTGAATCAGTGACAGAGAGTGATACCTCATGAGTTTGTGGGAACTGAACTTTGTAACTAAACACTGAGATAATGATAAATGATTTAATTCTATTCAGCTTGACAGGCCTGGTTTGGCATTTCACTTTTGCTACTGAAATGCACCCCAGAAGATGTTCTAGTTTGGGTGTGTGTCTGACCATAGAAAGTTTAGAGAGATTCTTCTGGAAACTAATTGCAAAAAAGGAAGATAAAGATTAAAAAAAATGGAGGTGCCTTGACCTGAGTACAAGCAAGTTCTTATGACAGAAATGTGTGATATGGCATGTTTCTGATTTTGTCTGTCTTGTGGAGTGATGAGGAAATGTTTAATACTCTGTAATAGGCTGTATATCTCCTGATACTGCCTCTTTAAAAATTAGATATCTAGTATGAAGTACTCATCTAGGTTGCCTCTGCAGTCAGTCAGAGGGATAGGTAACTCCAGAATGAACTTTCCTTCCTAAAATAGGCATGGTCTCAGTTGCCCTCTGAGGTGCCCATGTCTCTCCAGTGACTGTGGAGGCAGATTAGATATTTAGTCAAGAGTTGATGTGCTACTTTTAAATGCGAAAATAACGGCAAATGCATTTTCCTGGTGTTTTTCCCTGTTCTCTTACTTGTAACCTTTCCTTCTGTGTAGACAAAACATCTGTTTGCAAGCAGAGGATCTCTGGATAAAATTCTGCCTTCAGCACCCTTTTCAATATATTTCTAAAGCTTGATAATGAGCAGTAGAATACCATAATAACATTTTAGGATGGTGGCTTTGAACTTGGGTTTTGTTTAAAGGTGCTTACAGCATGATGTGATTTTGTTTGGCTCAGTGAGTTCTCTTTGGAAATTGTTTACTCCTGAGTTAATGTGAAAAATATATCTTTAAGAAATTTATATCTCAACATATCATAGTTATTTAGCTTAATTTCACTAAGTGCTATTTAATGGTGTAAGGCAGCATTGTAGCTAGTCTCAGCCATGTAAAACGTGGTACCAGGGTAGCAGGATGTAGAGGCAAGTTCTGGTAGCAATTTTTACAATCAAGTACAGATTGTTGGCAATTCATAATGCATATGTTTTTGTTGGAGTCACATATACAATCTTCAACTGCAAATATGCATATATATTTCTCATTGCAGCTATTAGTGAATGTTTTAGGCAGTTTTAACATTGAATTTTTTCAGTGGGGGCTTTTATATGTGTTTAATGTGGGGTTTTTTTCATTCATAATATGTGTTGCAGGTTTGAAGACCCTTCCATGTGGTGATGGGATTTTCAGCACACCTTCAGAACTTTTCCTAGTTTTCAGTTCCACACCTCTGAAGAAAATCATAGCCTCATCCCCAGTGCATGCAGCCATTGTATTCTGTAGAGTTTCTCTCCTTCGTCATATTTGTATATATTCCTTTATTTAAATAAATTATTTGTGCATTCCAAAATATAACATACTAAATGAAAACAAACAACCATGTCATTGGTATAACAAAGCATTGTTTTAAACTATTAAAACTGAATTATAACTTCCCTGTAGTGTGGACAACAATGGTGTCACAGTTATTACAGTAATTACTGTGCAAAGTAAGATAAAGACGTCATTTATTGTGGCCTCAGATTCAGCTCAAAATTGTTTAAAATCATTTATCACAGACTTCATAACTTGGGAAAGCAGTGTTCTGAGAGGTGCCTTTTTCAGAATGGCCATCATTAAAACTTTAGTGCTTACATTGACAAATGTAATAAAATTTAAGGCAATTTTGAAATGTGAAGGAATAAGTCACTGCTTAATTCTGCTAACTCCTCAAAACTGGTTTGATGCTTGGCTGTAAGCCTGAGCTAGTAATTTTAAATGAAACAGATGTAACATCTTTGTTTTGGCAATATGTGAAATAGCAGAAACTAACATCTAAAGTAACTCATAAACCAAGACAAGACTGCAATTATTTGTGCCAGAAAAAAGACATCTAACATTGCCCAAGACCCTGTAAAGGAGCACAGTAATAAATCCCAACCCTTGGTCTTCTTGGCTTCTGAGCCTCTCTCATTTGGGGTTATTAATGGTTTGTACCATAAGATCCACAGAACAGGGACAAGGCAAACTATCTCCAGGTTTATCTTTTCTTATTTTTAGATTTTACATGTTTACTCACTAGCCTAATGGGGGTCTTAGACACACTTGAAGTTTTTACTCAAATTAGGGTAAGAATGGCAGCACCTTCCCCTTTTTCTTAAGTTGTTCTAGTTCACAGATGTGTATCCTGCTGCATGGTCAGGATCCAGACTGTGCATTACACAAGTGCTGGTCTCTGGTTCCTGATGCACCACTTCTTTTCTTTAGACACTGTGACTAAACAATGCATAATAAAGCATATAAAGAAGTTCCAAACTGGAAAAGAATCAATGTGAAGGTTTAATCTATTTAGATGTCCTTCCCACTGTTCAAATGCTTCCACATGGCTGTTTCCCCTGGGAGAGATGCGTCAGTGCAACCAAGTTCCAGGATTCTATAAATGTGTTTGCAAAGTGCTACCAGCTTACCAGGACTGGTCAGCTTTTGTGGTCACGCTGCTTTCAGCAAAACACAACACAGTTTCCCTTATCATACAACACTCCCGTGTCATTGGAATTGGCAAATTTAGCTTTCAGTAGCAACACATTAACTTACAGATGTGGTGATGGTTCTGTAGTGCTACACATGGAATTGTGATGATTAAGAGCAATCTAGAGTCACAAAAATGATTGGTGTTCCCAGGGTGTACCAGTTCAAAACCAAAACAGTGGGAAATTCCAAGTCAGAACTGCAATTTAATAGAAAAATTAAGATAAAGGCAATAGTATGGAAACACTGAGTTAAACTGACAGAGTCAGAATACAACCTGACACCCTGTGATGATAGCAGTCTGGTTGGTGGCTACAGTCCTGTTGGAGTGATGGATGTGGTTCTGTTGAAGCAGCGATCCTGTGGAAAGATCTGATCTTTCTCGGGAGGTCCAGTGGTGAGTATCGAGCTCGTGTCCTGTGGGAATCCAGTGGTAGTGCTCCTGTGGTGTTCCAAGCCTCAGATTATATCCAGGTAGGAATGCTTGGTTCTTTCCTCTGGGCAGGGCCTCTCAGAATGAGATGATATAATTCTACGAGACATGCTGGGAGACCTTGATGGCCCATTTGCAAAGATATAGCCCTTGGAGGGACTTATCAGGGATGAGCCATGGAAGAGATAAGGAACACTGCCCCATCTGTTTTAACAGCTTATAAAGATGGTCACAGAACACATACTTTGGTTACACTTTTTGATTGTAACCCAAGACACAGGGTAAACCCTTGCTACCCACGGCTGTATGCAATAATCTTCAGAGGGACTTGAGGATGGCCACCAGTTGCTGGAGTGAGCAGGTGTTCTTCAACCTCAGGCCAGGACCTGCTATGGCAGGTTACACAGAGTACTCTGCTTTGAGTAATTATTAAAATGAAAAGTTACTGTATCATATACTGAGGTATATGATACACAATATCTTTAATTCCTGCTAATTTTTAGTATTTCTCTATATACACTAATGACCATGTAAATTGCAGTATCAGTAGTGATAAAAATTATAAACTAATCTTATATTGCTTGTGCTGTCATTACAAATGTACCTTAGGGGAGAAAAGGAGAGTTAAAGAATTAGCACACACTAAACACTTGTGCTGAGTTGTTCCACTCAATTACCTGACTTTTCCTGAACGTCAAGAACACTCATCTGTATAGAAAAGCTATTTCCTGATGAGCTCTCAAAGAAGCAAGGCAAAGCATTCACACAATATTTATTTGTCCACTCTGCAATATTATTTCTGTTCTAAAATCTTCCTCTGTTCTCTGTTGTGGGGCAAACACAACATTGCCATAGAATTCCAATGTGCTTAGTTCTTAGCTTACTCGTGTACTTCATATACCACTCTTGACAGGCCAGGACACTGAAAATACTGTATCAGCTCTACAAATCAGAGGATAGACTTAAAAAATGAGCTGTGAAATGAAGATAAATACCAGTTTTCTTTGGCATAACTCCTGAATTTTGACTTCAGGGTTAAGTTTTTCATCTTTTTCTCTCTAACCATGAGAAATAGTACCTTGTTTCTAAAACAAAGGCGGCAATTTATGTAAGAATCTGAAGTATGCCAGGAAAAACAAGAAGTGATAACCCTGAAAGTAGGTAATAATATTTTCTCCTTTATTTATTGTGGGTTTGAAAGCATGAGAAATGTACATAAATTGGTGTCAAACATTGAAAAGACTGTCTACCTTTACCTTTGGCAATTTCTGTGAAATACATCACGGTTATGCCCAACTTTGATTTAACCAAAGAAGAGATATAGATGATCCCACCTATCTTGTCTTCCAGGACAAGAAATTCTCTCTGTCTTCTTCTTTCTCCATCCCTACAAACCTAGCCCACTGCACTACTTTCAGCCCTGAAATTCTTTGTGCCAAAAGACCCTCCTTCACATGGCATTGTGTTGGGGTGAGGTGGGATTTACCTGGTGGCTGGCAAATGAATACCAAGTTTCAGGTGCGGGATCAAGAGTTTTCCATAGTGGTTTGTGCCACCTTCTGGTGCTCTGCTGGCCCCTCACCTTGGTGCTTAGGGTGTGGTGCCCCGGAGCACCTGGCATATGTAGGAAGGGTATTTTAAAGCTGAACTGACCATTGCTCTGTGTTTCCCATGGGATTACATGTCTTGCCTGGCCACATGACCTTCAGGGGTGCCTGTGTAAATCCAACACTGGACCTTTTTTCCCATTGCCACCCTTGTGTTATCACCATTAGCCACCAAAAGTCAACAAATATTAAAAAATTCAGCAGAATCAATCACAAAATCATGGAGTACCACGTTGGAAGGAAACTTCAAGGATCACCTGATCAAACCTTTCTTGGCAAAAGCATGTATAGACAAGATGGTCCATCAGCCTGTCCAGCTGAATTTCATAAATGTCCAACATTGGGGAATCCCCCACTGCCTATGGAGATTCTTCTCCTTGTAAAAAATGAGTGGCTGATTGTTATTGTGAAAATTTCTCCTCTTGTGTCCAATTAGAATCTCCCCAAGAGTATCTTGTACCCATTATCCTTCGCCCCTTTCTTGAGACTGCTGGTAAAAAGGGGGTCTCCCTCTTATTAGCCACATTTTACTGGAACATGGTGATAAGGTCCTCCAAAGCTGCCTTTTGTCAAGCGTAAATCAACTCTTTTGTTTCAGCCTTTCCTCATATGTCAGGTTGCCCAGTCATTTGATCATCTTTGTGGCCTTTCTCTGGATCTCTCCTGCCTGTCCACATCTTTTCTTGTACAGCAGGGACCAGAATTCAACACAGTATTCCAGGTGTGACAAGCATCGAGTTCAGTAAAGGAAACAAAAATTTTCCAGATGGATTTCAGTGAAGGTAGAAAACTAAATACAAACTAAACATAATATAATGTACAGTAATGAAAAAAAATATACTCTTGCTTTGTTTTGGTGGGTTAGCACCCTGAGTAAGAAAGTGCTACTGAGTGGAAATTGCCTAACTAATGCAGTAATTCATATCAAGTTGGTGTATTTTATTTATCTGGCTGCATTGTTATCAGTCATTTATTTATCTGTATTACAGCAGCACCTGGAGACTCCAGATATGGGGGTCATTGTGCTCCAGTCTGTAAGACCATATTAAAAAAAAAAATCCAGACTACAGAGATATTCCATCTATGTGCAAAGAGAGAAAGTAGGAGGAAACTTGGGCTCATAAATAAAATGATTAGTAAGTTATAGTGGTCCTACTGCACCTGCAGCCTTGCCCTTGTAGACTCTTGGATTGCAGCAATTAAGAATGTGCTATAAAACCAGTAGTGCAACATTAACTTGTTTCCAGTTAATATGTGTGTTTGCCAAGCTCTCCCTTATCTAAGTTATTTGCTTTTCTCTAATGACCCAGTCCTTGCCAGGCTCAGAGACTATCCAAGCTATATTTAGCTACAAGCAGCTCCCACCTGCCTGTAATGAACACCCAGCTCAGAAGATTCCAGACTTTTCTTTATCTCATTTTCCTGTGCATTCAATGGAGGGTCCTGGGCTGTGGGCTGCCAAGTGCATGTCTCAAGGTGTGTAAGTTCTATGGAAATGTGTCTGGAGTCATTCCACCTTTGAAGAAGCAGAACTGATGGGAGCAGGAGAGGCATGAGGTGCCCTTGCAGACAGAGCTGATGGCGGCTAAAACTGAACACAGCTGTAACAGGCTTCCCACAGTAACTTTCCCAGTAAAGTGTAAATTGGCAGCCTCTCCCAGAGGTACAAGAGTGTGAAATGCTCTTTGTCAAATAAATATGTTTGTATCAATTATGAATGAGGGTTTAAAAGACTGTGTGCTAAATAGGTGACAGGCTCTTTATAATAGATCTTACTAGGTCTTCCCACAAGTTCTTATGTTGTGTTTTCATAGAATCATAGAATGGTTTAGGTACTTAAAAATCCCCTAGTTCCAACTCCCCTGCCATAGGCAGGGACTCCTTCCAC